TGGAGGTGTCACTAATCGACTCTAAATTAAATGAATGACAACTTAGGTTGGCATGTCTTTCGTAGATTTGAAGCGGCTCCCTTTCATGATACTTACAATCTGAATAGACTTGGTTAGAAGTGGAAGGGGCAGACTAAAACTAACATGGATATTGGTTTTCAAGGATTTGGATCTTCACATAGATTTGGAAATGAACCAAACAGAATGGGGGAAAAGGATTTACATAGTTGACTCCTAATTTATTGTATATAAGGCTTAGTTTGTTGTGGTAGCACATACTATTCATCTTAATGGATAAACATAATTAACGTAACCAATAAGACAGCATAATAGATTCACATGAAAGTATTCTAAGATCTTTTTCAAGTCCCTACAAATTTTTGAGGGCTAGTTACATCTCTATTCTTTTATAACTCTTGTGTATATCTTTAGTGACTAAGCATGTTAATTTGGTGCTTTTTCATTATTCCGACCTCTTTTTTTATCTTTTAATATGAATCGACTCTCGGCAGATTGTTCATTTTCGAGCTTTGGAGAGACCTAAGGAGGATGGTTTCAGCCTAGAGTTGTGAGTATTTATTAACCTGTTATAATTTCTGATACAGTTGGGGACTGTTCTTGACTATTACTAGCAGTTAGTTTAATTGCGGTCTATGCTACCTTTTTTATTAGTCTTGTATGTTTTATAACCTTTGGCATAAATCTCTAGAGCAAAGAACCACACTTATGACGATGTTGTGGAAAGAGTGGCTCAATACCTTGGTTTGGATGATCCATCTAAAATCCGTCTTACTCCTCACAATTGCTATTCTCAGCAACCAAAGCCCAGTCCAATCAAATACAGATCAGTTGATCAGTTGTTAGATATGCTTGTCCACTACAATCAGGTAGCTCTGACACAGTGTGAGCTCAGTATGTTCCTGTGGGTGACAATTTTGAGGTTGGCTTATGATGTCAATGGATTGATAATTTTCCTGTGCAGATCTCTGATATTCTGTATTATGAAGTTTTGGATATTCCTCTTCCTGAACTGCAATGCCTTAAAACTCTGAAAGTTGCCTTTCATCATGCCACAAAGGATGAGGTAGGTGAAAATACAGATGCCACTGCTCTGTTCTTTCCTTGCCAATTTGAGTATAAAGTCATATGATCTAGGGTGCACTGTTCCTATCAGGCTGTAATTCTCAACATCAGATTGCCTAAACAAAGCACTGTTGGAGATGTGCTTAACGAGATCAAAACAAAGGTTAGTTCTGTGCTGTGAATAATTTTATCGTACATTATGGATATTACTTAGCCCTTGTTTGGCTATGGATCTTACTTAGCCCTTGTTTGGCCTCCACTATAATGTGAAATTTGGGTCAAATGTATTTTGGAATAGTAATTTTTGGGAGTGTGTGGTTAAAAAAGAAAGAAAAGTTTTTGCTTTATGAGTCATATTATTTTATTGGAGAATGTGTGATTGAAAAGAAGAGAGAAAAATGTATTGAAATTTTAATGGGGGCCAAAGAAGGGCTTAACTGAAAGTTCTATAATATATACCTTATATAAAATTTTGCCTAGGTATTAGTTGAAAATATATCATTAGTCTTGTGGGAAAAAATTATGATTACAATTACAGTTTCATAATAATTACTATTTACAGGTTGCTTGCTTTTACCTCTGCTCCTACTTACAGAGTACTTTTTAGATCCTGCCTCCAGAAAAGGCAAGAAAAAATCGGCAGGTTTTTTACATTTGTTGTATGCTGAAACAGGTAGAGTTGTCTCACCCAAATGCAGAACTTAGATTGCTTGAAGTTTTCTACCACAAGATTTATAAGGTAGTGATCATCATCCTGAAGCTTTTCTGTGTTTTTACGCTGTTGTAGGCCTAGCCTTGTTGAGTTGGATTATGATTTAGCCTTTATCTTTTATTGGCTTCTGTTTCACTTCTTTGAAATGGATTGTTGCTTGGTTTTTCAAACCCTGCTAGAAGACATGTTGCCACTATATTTGTGGCCAGTAAATTAATTTCTGTGCTACAAAATCAGTTGCTTGTTATCGTTGAGTGGATTTTAATTTTTATTGAGTTCAGTTTTGTAGATTTTGTAATCAATTCTCTTGACAAATCTACAGATCTTTCCTCTCAATGAGAAAATTGAGAATATAAATGACCAGTACTGGACATTGCGGGCTGAGGAGGTGAGCTGTCTTGTTCCTAGAATCGCTCTTTTGTACTTTTTGTTCATTCTCTTTCTCACATGCATATACAAGTTGTCTCTTCTCTTTAAGGACCTAGTTCATGTTAATGACTTTTGCATCTAATAATATGAATAATGGAGCTGAGTAGAGTTTGAACTTTGATCATTAACACAATTGTTGAAGAGGCACTTTGATTTTGTACTTCAAATCCAATGTTTATTTATTTGGAAGTGGTCGTTTGTATGTGTTGGCGTTATTTTCCATGGTTTTACAGTTTGGTAAATCTTGTATGAATTATTTTCTACATCAACAGTTATTTTGATTTTGCTACAACTTTTGATGGGATTCTTGTCATATGTTATTTGTCAGATTCCAGAAGAAGAGAAAAAGCTGGGTCCCAATGACCGCTTGGTTCATGTTTACCATTTCACAAAAGAGAGTGCACAGAACCAAATGGTATTTGAGGATTATCAATATTTTTATTTTTTATCTAGTGCAATATGGTTGTTTTTGGGTAGAACTGAAATTATCAAACAATGATGAGCATGATAATAACATATATATTACAATGTTATTCAATAGCAAGTCCAGAATTTTGGGGAACCCTTCTTTCTGGTCATTCATGAAGGCGAAACTTTAGCGGATGTTAAAGTCCGGATTCAGAAGAAATTGCAGGTTCCAGACGAGGAGTTTTCTAAGGTATATTATGTTACCTGGTTTACATGGATACTACATTTACATTTTTGTACAATCATGTAGCACTTTCTAAAAAATTTTGTGCTGCACAGTAGTTGCGCTTGTAATTTAGTTGCTTTATAGCACTGACTTTGGGTATTTGATTCTTTATTCTGTTAATATTTAGTGGAAATTTGCATTTTTGTCGCTGGGACGTCCAGAGTATCTTCAGGACTCAGACATTGTATCCAGCCGTTTTCAGGTCATTATTTTCAGTACTGTCTTTATATTCTTATTAATCCTTTTCATTTATCCCATTTCTCTTGAATCTTCATTAACAATTAAAGCAAATTTACTTGTATTCTTTCATAGAGGAGAGATGTTTACGGTGCTTGGGAGCAGTACCTTGGGTTGGAGCACTCTGATACTACCCCTAAGAGGACTTATGCTGCAAACCAGGTATACTTCTTGCATTGCCTAGGTGACATTGTCTGTTCCGGGGAAAAAATATGTATTCCTCGTTAATAATATCAAGTGTATCAATGGTTTACTTTTCGTGGGCATTTTTTGGTGATTGCAGAATCGCCACACCTTTGAGAAGCCTGTTAAAATATACAATTAGGAAGGAATCAATTGCACTCTGATTGGTCGTAAGCTCATACCTCCTACGCCACAAAGAAAATGTAATAATTTATAAACATGGGATACGGAGAAGAGAACGCAAGGCAGAAAAGATATACTGTGCTGCTGTTTTTTCACCTCTTTTTTCCGCTGCAAATTTGGTTGGTTTGGTAGATTTATGATTATTTGAATGGGATATGGAGTAGTTTCTAGTCCCAATTGTACTTTTACTTTTTGCTTGTTTGTACAAAGTGCTTGAAATGACTCGGGAATTTACATATATAAACATACAGATAAATGATGTGATACATATGACAAGGTTTTGTTGATGGGGTTGTAAAAAGTATGTAACAGTTATATCTCTAAATTCTCTTCTATGTTGTTAGATGTCACGTATATGGTTAGTAGGGGTGGAACTGTAAAAGAAAACGATTATGCTGTAATTTATTAGTGGAGATTGATCTTCTAGTCCTCCCTTTCCACAAATTCACTTTATGCACACAAAAATTTAGCAAAATCACCTTCCAAAATGTGGGTTATTTGAGCATTTGAACAAGTGACTCTGTGTGTGTGTGTGTGTGTGTTTTTTTTTTTTTTTTTTAAAGGTACCACTGGCATGAATACCTCACCTTAAACGTGCTCGGTCTTTAGATGCTCAAGAAAGTTCCCCATTATTTTCTCCACTCTTGGGTGACTAAATGTGCATCATCGATTTGTTGTGGTGGTGAGAATGGGTGGAAGAATAAAAAAACCAAAAATGCTATTTGTGCATAATAGAATTAAATAAATAATGATTTATATACGGATGAAGTGTTAAAAGATGGTGGACATATGTATATAAATTTTTTATTGAAGAAATTTTGATGTAATCATATTTTACATCATGTGTATGTAAATCATTATTTACATGTAGTACGAGTAAAATAAAAATTAGCTACATTTTTAAAATGCACCTTGTTGGTTGGCAATTTTGATAATTTGATAGCAAGAAACAAAAATAAAGTATTTATCTTTAATACAAAGAAGTCACGGTAGCGCCTGTAGCTCAGTGGATAGAGCGTCTGTTTCCTAAGCAGAAAGTCGTAGGTTCGACCCTACCTGGCGCGAGTTAGTCTCATATTTTGTTTTGCCGTTTAATGTTCCTAATAATATATAATCTGGGAAAATAGATGAATTTAACCACTTCTCTCACCCGCTTCTGCGATTTTGAGTTTTGGAGGTGAAATTTGCAAAGCCTCCGTTCGGCCCCATTAAATTCAATTTTATTTTTCTCTTATATTTTTAATCACGTAATATTTCATAAAATAATATTACACAAATTATGTTCTTTCTTTATCAACTACTTATTCTTCAAAAAAAAAAAAAAATAGTATTTCACTCATTATAATTTAAAATAATGTAGGTCAAATCAGAAGAGTGATTACTTGTGTTGGGAACCTTACAATTTTGTCAATTAAATTATGAAATTTTAGTCCTCACTATGTCAAGTTCCACCACCCATGATTCCCCAAATGAGAAGCTAAATCATAACCGATCTTTCACGCAATTATTCGGTAGCATTCCAATTTAATATTGAATCACTTTAAAAAAGTATCTATGCTTATACTTTGCATCACTTGACACTTTATTCGCCTGGTCCAATGTCGAGTTGACTCGNCCAAGATTTTTGTTTTGATGATTGATTGGATAATGGAACCTTAAACAATATAATCAAGAATTAAAATTTGGTTTGTTAAGAGGAATTTTCTAAGAGAAATCTTTATTTCTATGTTGTTTTGTTGATTATAATTTTTTGGTCTTGCCATTCTCCAAATGAATTGCAGATAAGAAGGCTAACTATGATGTTAAGGTCAGTGGAGTCGAGATAACTCCTTTCCCTATTTCTAGAGGCAAAGAGACCACCTTCAGCATTGCTGCATCTTCTGGTAATAGCATGATTTCATAGGCTTCACACACTGGAATTTGATTTTTATAATTCTCATTTTCTGCTCAAGCATTTGTCAGTGTTACGAGTACTTTGCATACATGTCTTTTCAGTAAAAAATTGAGAACATTTTTTGTTTACTTTGTTGTTCTGATAGCTTCTTTGTGATATAAAATGGACGGAACATTTTCCTAGAAAATAGTACTCCTTCATCGAAAAATACCGTGACTTCGACTTAGTCAAATTGAGTTTCATTAGTTTTGGTACTTCTCTATATGCAAAATAGACTCAAGATGGTAGCATTTATATGTATTTTAGCATTCACTTGATTATGTTTCCAAATATTAAATGAATGGTAATTCATTCAGTAAATTTGTTTGCTTCAGCAAAATATTCCCGAGAATCGGATTTTTTGGCAAGGCATATTTAAAAAATCCATTTACAAAGTGTTTGGCCTTGAAAAGTTAAAGAACCAGTTTTTATGCGACAGAGGTGTATTTTATCTCATTTTTCCAAGGTGGAAGGTAGGTTGCAAGAAAGAGGAATAGTACTCTCTTACTCTTATTCAATATAACCTTTGAATGGTAAAGTACTTGTGCTAATATCTTGTATGGAAAACCAGAAGATGAGATTAATAACTTTCCTCTTATCCATTTCTTTTATCTGAAAGGTACTGCTTCTTATACCTCCTATATTTTTCTGTGTTTTATATTTCTTATCGACCAATTCCCGTATGTATAAAAGAGAAGCATCAGTAGCATGTCTTTTTACTGATCTTTGATGGTCGACTTTAAAGTATGCATTATGGGTTTAATTTGGTTTTCTAACTTATTGGTAATGAATAAAGTAGTAGGACTAGATGCCTCGCTCACTATGTATCCCCTATTCTGTCCTAAATTCTCACTTTCTCCCTCTAATTTTCGTGTACCATCAATGGAAGAATGTATCATAAGCTCATTGGCATTAGATCAGCACAAGTTTAAATTTTGAGATCACTGGGTGCTGCGAAATGTACTCTACTTTGATTACTTGGACGATAGCCATCTAGTATGTAACAATTCCTTTGTTTGAGAACTCTAATAGCATTTTTATTTCTTCATAGCAACATGTTTGATTGATGCCAAGACAATAGTTATCCCGTAAGTACACTATTTCTAGCTACCATGCTTAAGAACTGTAAGACAGCATTAATTACTTTTTGGCTTCTAATTATCCACCTAGGACAGAAACAAAAAGGAGCAACATTTGGTTTCTTGCTAGAAACGTATTTGGCATTATTAATAATGCCCACCCGCACCCCCAGCAGATTTTATGGTAGTTTGTACTTGTGATTCTTCACATGTTTTGGGAGTAATAATCACGTTGGCTAATCCTTTGGGGATTCATTGATTCTCACCATTTTGGACGTAGATGTAGACCTTTTGCATTACCATTTTCCTTATATTGACTGGCTTTATCTTGCGGCTTCACCCCGTTGTGTGTGCTTTTAGTATGCTGATCATTTTTAGACCTTTTGATGTATATCCAGTTATGCTTTCGTCAATAATGCAACAAGCTTTCATTTATTTAGAGTATTTCTTCATCCTTTCACTTGAGTTGGGTGGCATTTTATAACCTAGTTTGGAATGTGTGGAGAAAAAGAGACTGCCAAATGAAAGAAGATTTATCACACGCTAATGAGTTGATATAAACCATGCAATTAGAGAATCTTATTAAAGATTATAATTTCAAACATGCTGCATATTCTGCTGAATGTTGCTTCAAGTGTAACTTGTTCTTGTGAGCTGAAGATTTACCTTGAACTTGCCGTGCAGATAGGGCATTCTCTGGTGGGAAACTTACAATTGATGTTTCATATTTTGGATTTCATGTCCATGGTGAGACCCATGACCTCTGTGCAAAGACGGCCTGTCCAGTTTCTGTGGGTGATTTTGTGATTTCGCATTCCCAATCTTTACCTGGAATTACCCCACCCGTAAGTCACCTTTTTTTACTATGTTTCAGTAGTATCATGTCGATGATGTCTAGCATTCCCGTTATTGCAAACCATGTCAAGTCTAACTTCATGTATTGCACTCTGATGAAATGAGGAGTATCCACTGAAAAAATTCATTTTGCCCACACGACACAAACAAAGAAAACGATTAAAGGGAAGCAAAGAAAATACAAAAATTGGAGAAAGTGCCATGATTTTTTATTTTTTATTTTTATTTCTTGGAACTAACGTTCTTCTTGACATACCCAGGGTTCGTACACTCTTAAAATGTCAATGGTGGATGAGAACAAGAAGCAATTGACTTGCATTACTTTCTACTTCAGCATTGGGCTTACGGCATCAGAAACTTTGGCTTCCAGTTAAGTGCTCTCGAGGATTCGCTCCATCGAATTCCAGGCTTTAGATGTAAATAAAAAGTTTCTATTCCTGATGGAATAAACCTCGTATCTGTCAATCCTGATTAATCCTTTTTCTTTATTGAGACTGTTTACAATTTCCACTTACGAGCTTTCTTGAGAACATCTCGAAATCAAGTGGGCACTTACCGTTTGTTTCCTAAACTAACAGTTCATGTAAAATTTATATAAAAATAAATTATTGTGGTGTATTGATGGCGGTGGATGGAAACAATCTTTAATTTACATGCAGGATTGAAGTATCCAAGGCCTTAATCAAGACATTCAAGCGTTATCCATCAATATGTATTCTGTAATCATAGAAATGTACCTTAACTAACGTGTATATAATAATCTTTGGACCACTTTTTGAATGATTTCTATCACACAACCGTGACATGTCATTAATTTGGGTTCGAAATTCGAGTATTTATTGAGTTTCCATAGGGTTCTCAACTAGTTTAATATTTTTTATTTGTGTAGGAGGCGAAGAGGGATTCTTATAATTATTCATATTCATTGACTATGTTAGTTATAAATACAGGGAAAAGGCCAAACGACCCGCACTGTTGACACTTTAGGTGACAGCACTTTCACATGGCCGACATGGGTCCTCCATGAATAAAATAATCCTGGTCCCCATGTGCGTGTATTATGTAAATCATGCGATCACCCGCGCGGGCTATGTAGCTCGGTCCTAAATGCAATGCAAGTCTGATATGCTTTCACCAAGTATTGCTTTACATGCTTGTTTGGTGTGTCATATTGAAAAAGATTAAGGAATATAATTGAGATGATTTTTTGATAAATTTTTTTATTAGTATCGTCCAACCGAACATGTAAATAAGGTATTGACTTACAGGGACATGGCTCATGGCTGCTGGTGAAAAGGTTTAATCACCAAACCTACTTTATATCCAAAAAGTCTAATACGAAGAATGGGAAGGAACCAAATAAAAAAAGGGCTGCTTTGGCTTCCTTGGGACTGAATTATGAGTCCATAGTGAAGGGACGTGTTGAAGTGAGGTGATTCGAGAGTCTTCTCTAATTAGTTTGTTGTCAGCACATGTGATCCCTATTCAAGAAAGAACGTGAAAGCGTGAATCCTTAGTAAGCTCAAAAACATTTCGACAATCGCTCAGAAACAAGGCCTAGTTTTTCATTCTTTCAAGCCTCAACTTCTCACAAAGAACACAGCAATGAAAATCTTCCTAACTAATTAGCCAGCAATATCAGTGTATCAGGACTCGTAAACAATGTGCCATATGATGAAAAGTTTCGACCCTACATAAGATCAACATCAGGTACAATTATTATCCGAGGTTGATCATTTATTAGAGATTGGCAAATCAGCTTGTCAACCACTAATGGGAGAAATCGAGGGCCATTCTGAACTCATTCATGCACCTTGCTGCAAGCTGAATGGCATGGAAGATTCTGGAAGCCGTGAAAGGAAGGAGGATAATGATGAATTCCCATCTCTAACGGACTTTGAAGAGAGATGTCCTCCAGATGGAACTGATTCAGTCATACCCTACACCACCGGCCTGAGAGGAATCTGGAAAACTTTCGAAGACTGTAATGCAATCCGGTTTCTTTTGGAGAGTTTTAGAGTAGTTCACTACGAAAGAGATGTTTCGATGCACTTGGAATATAGAGACGAGCTGTGGAGAGTACTCGGAAGTCGAGTAGTTCCCCCGAGGGTTTTCATCAGAGGTAGAAACATTGGAGGGGCTGATGCAGTCGTAGGATTGCACGAAAAGGGAAAGCTAAGAAAACTCTTACAAGGGATATCCTTAACTCAATCAAATACTCTTTGCAATGCTTGTGCTGGAATACATTTTGTTTTATGTTTCCACTGCAATGGCAGACGGAAAATCGCTCCGGAGGAGCAAGCCAATGTATTATCAACCATAAGGGGTCCAGATTGCAATGAAAGTGGATAAATTAAGTGCTCAGTTTTGCTGCTAGAAATAAGAGTGTGTTTGATTA